TGTTTTTTAGAAGCTATAAACTAATTTTATCATATCAAAGATTTATCATATTATAAGAAGACGCTCTAAAGCCAATTTATCATGATAAAGTTGAAACAAAAAATATAGCATTAAGATATCAAAATTTCGGATATAGGTACCAAAATTTTGAAATATTAATACCAAATTTTCAAGAGCAAAAAAATCGATTAAGTGTGCCCAGTATTTTCAAACCTGTCTGAGTGCACTCAGTGTATCAAAATTTTGTTAGCTTATATACTATTTAGTCGGGCTATAGAGCAGTAAAATATATAGCAAATTTCTATTTAAACAAAAATATTTTATAAGTATTATATATTACTTGAGGTATAATAATTAAACAAAAATATTTTATAAGTATTATATATTACTTGAGGTATAATAAACAAAAATATTTTATAAGTATTATATAACAAATATGGTTGAATATACATGTACTAGATGCGGTAAAAGCTTTTCCAAATTATGGAAACTTCATCACCATAATAAAAGAAAATACAAATATCGACCAAAAATAATTCCTCAAATTACAATTCCCCAAGTTAAAAACCAAAAGCCAGAAGCTGGCCCCGGCCCAACAACCCAAGCCTATAGAAAAGAGCAAACTACTATTCAACAGGTTATAGACCAAGAGAAAAAGTATGCTTCAGAAAAGCATTTTCGATCAATTTACGAAGTAGAAAATGGAATCGTAGAAAAAGAGCCACCCTCTGAAGACATAAAATTTTTAGAAAAAAGACCTGATCCTGAAAGACAATATCAAAATCTTACTTCTATGACAGTTTGGGAAGGTATAGTGCTATCGATTAAAAATTCTGCATATACTTTTAATAAACGTCAAGACAATCCAATAGAGTATGCGGATACCCCATACATGCCCAGTTATTTGCATCAGCATGTAAAGCCATTACAAATATTCTTAAAGAAGAGCTCCACAAAAAGGATCAAATAAAATCAGCATTGGTTGTACATGCTACATACATAAAATATACATATAAAGAAAGTGGTGATAGTACAGATTTAAAAAACTATAAAATTAGCTATCACTATCTATATCACCAAGAAGAAATGTGTGTACTTCTTTCAGAAAATGATATAGACAACTATATTACTAGATCAGCTAGAGAAATTGATCAAAAGATTGAGGCATACTTGAAAGAAAAGTCTGGTAAAATTCTTTTTTGATTAGAAATGGTATTTATAGAATCCTATACATACCGACGAACATATAGAGGATCCTTTATCTCTACTCCAAAAAAGCTTGCCAATACAAAGTGTACTATTAATCCGGATAATAAAAATCTTATAGATCCAGAAACAAATAAGCTTTCTGAAAAGTACCTTCAAGAAGCATTAGAAGTATACTTTGCTTACCAGGATGGATATACAGAGCATCTTGAACGAATCTTCCAAGCAAAGAAGCTCAAGCCATATTTAGATATTGTTAAACTAGATAGATTTCAATACCCACTCCTATTTGTTCATGTATATTCAATAAAATTGAAGAGATGAATCCTGATATCTCTATCAATGTCTGGGAATGGAAAGAAGAATCAGCAACTCCCAAACCGGTAATAGCCAGCAAGAACTATAATAGACAATATATTATATATCTAATAGCTCTTACAGATATTACCAAATCTGAGGATGATAAATATGGACAAAAAAACCATTTTCTTTGGATCAAAAACCTAAAAGGATTAGTATTTAAGGATAATAGAAAACATATCAAAAAACATCTTTGTAATCGGTGCTTTTATAGCTTTTAGTCAGAAAAATCTTTAGCATATCACCAAAAGCATTGTTTCGGATTAGGAGAAGCCACCCAAAGAGTTGAATTACCTACCAAGGGTGTCAATAACTTTGAGAAGTTTAAAAACTATGAACGAATAATCAATACCCCATGTATTATTATAGCTGACTTTGAGGCTGATACAAAAAATGTAATGAAATATATGGAGGGCAAATGCGAAAGCTTGCTGAACAGAAAGCTAATAGTTTCTGTTATCTTGTCTACTGGATCGATACTAGAGATGTATGGGGCCTTTCCTATATAGAGAAGAAAATGCA